AAAAAAAGATTCTGAATCCAGAGTAAATACACATAAAAACATGAGGATTATGATATAATTTCAAATTCAAAGGAATCCTCTGGAGGAAAAAATATAATTAAAAAATGGGGAGAGGAAAAGTCAGGGTAGCGTGAATGAGCCAGTTCTACGTCTCTCACGATGAGTCCACAAATACCAACATTGGTGAATTAATAAAAGAGACAGGCGTATTGTTCAAGTGCCTCAAGAACCTCCCAGATAAGGTAGAAACAGAAACGCAGCAGAGCATCGGGACTGCGGCATCAGAGTGCACGTGGGGAACATGGAGGGAGGCTCTTCCACTTTTCATTTCAGTCTCTAAGCCAGAGCCGAGAGAAAGGCTCTCTATGTGTGCTACCCAATTTGGTAGTCACCGGCTTTACTTGGCACTTGCAATGGGGCCGACGACACCTAGGAGATAATTTTAATTTTCTTTTTAAGAGACAGGATCTCTACGTGCCCAGGCTGGTCTCAAACTTCCGCCTCACCCTCCCAAGTAGCTGGGACCACCATGCCTCACTGTAAGTTGCATTTAGCTTAAATTTAAATAGCTGCACATGGGTGGTGGCTACCACAATGAATGATGGAATTCTAGACTTGGAATTATTTTATTGGGTATGCATTATTTTTTTAATTTGAGAAAGACGGCATTAGCATTAGATCGTACTAAACCTAATAGCATAATAAAGTACATCTCAAGCATTTTATTTTATTTTAGATGGAGTCTTGCTCTCTCTTGCCCAGGCTGGAGTGCAATGGTGCGATCTCGGCCCACTGAAGCCTCCACCTCCCAGGTTCATGTGATTCCCCTGTCTCAGCCTCCCGTGTAGCTGGGATTACAGGTGTGTGCCACCACGCCTGGCTAATTTTATTCTTTTAGTAGAGATGGGGTTTCACCATGTTGGTCAGGCTGGTCTTGAACTCCTGACCTCAGATGATCCACCCGCCTTGGCCTCCCAAAGTGCTGGGATTATAGGCATGAGCTACCACGCCCGGCCATCTCAAGCATTTTTAAAAAGTCGTTAAGAGCGCAATAAGTTTGCCAGGTTCCAAATTACATTTAAAAATCAAAAGCTTTCCCACACAGGAAAAAAAGATTAATTTGAAAACACAATGGAAAACGATGTTGATAATAGAACATATAAAAACCACTGAAAATAAACTGAAATGAAGAACCTAAATAAAGCTATTATACTATAAAAAGAATATAAAAAAAGACTTAAATAAATGGACAGACATAATCTGTGGTTGGAGAAGACTCCACATGACCCAAATATCAATTCTTCTAAGTGAAATCCATAAACTCAGTGCCATCCAAAGCAAATCTGGGCAGAGGAGGAGAAATAAAAAGATTCCAAAATTCATCCAGAACATGTGAAGAGCCAGAAAAATACCATCTGCTAAGAAGAGCAAGGAAGTGAAACCTGCTCACCACCTATCATAGCAACCCTGCCATGGGGCTCCTGTACAAGCATCAGGACCACATCGCATGCAGGTGGGATTCTGATGCATGTTTAAGGGATTTTCCAAAGCAGCACAAATCAGCAGGAAAAGAGTGAGCAACTCAGATGACTGGCTAGCCATTAGGAAAGCAATGTCTGGTTCCTTCTCTCAGTCTGTGCACCAAAGTAAATTCCAGGCAGGTCAAATAGTTAAATATCAATAAACAGGCCAGGCATGGTGGCTCATGCCTGTAATCCCAACACTTTGGGAGGCCAAGGTGGAAGGACTCGAGGCCAGGAGTTTCAGATCAGCATAGGCAACACAGTGAGACGCCATTTCTACAGAAAATTTGAAAAATTAATCAGGTGTGATGGTGAGTACCTGTGGTCCCAGTTACTCGGGAGGCTGAGGTGGAAGGATAGCCTGAGCCCAGGAGTTCGAGGCTGCAGTGAACTGTAATCACACCACTATACTGCAGCCTAGGTGACAGTGCAAGGCTCTGTCTCAAAATTGTTTTAAAAAAATTTCTAATTGTCAATAAACAACTTTCAGAGTAAAATGTGAATATTAGGAATAAGAAGCCTTCCCTAAGGCTTCTTACAGCATCCAAAAGTTACATGGAAAAGAGACACATTTAACTACAAAAAATGAAACTATGAAATACAGTCAAAGATGATCCTGGGGAAAACATTCTTAACACTTTCATATAATAATTCTCCTTAAAAAGCTCTCATTTCCCTAACATGTAAGCTTTAACAAGAGAAAAAGCTGAACTCAACAAAAATGTGGACAAAAGACACAAAAATAATTCATAGAAAAAACATGAAAAGTTAATGTACTTAAGGCTTAAGTGCAGATGAAGCAGAGTCTCTCGTTCTGCTCCTAAGAGCATGACTTAGTGTATTATTGATGTTACTTTGCCGATGACCATTAAGCTGAGGAAGGAAGAGAATAGACGTAGACATATAAACTGCTACGTTCTCCCCAGCAGAAATTCACAGGCAAACTCTGCTTTCTAAAGCATTCATTTTTATGTGGTTTGAATGATTTACAATGACTGCAGCTTATTTATTTATTTACTGAGACAGGGTTTTTCTCTGTCACCCAGGCTGGAGTGTGGTTGTGTGATCACAACTTACTGCAGCCACGACCTTCTGGGCTCAAGTGATCCTCTCGCCTCAGCCTCCCATGTAGCTGGGACTACAGGTGTATGCCACTACACCAGGGTAATTTTTGTGGGTTTTTTTGTAGACGAGGTTTCACTCTGGTGCCCAGGCTGGTCTCCAACTCCCGAGCTCAAGTGATATGCCTGTCTCAGCCTTCCAAAGTGCTGGAATTAGAGGGGCGAGCCACTGTACCCAGTCTCTTTTTTAAAACAGAAATCAAAAAGAACAAAAGCACCCCCACGAAGATACACTCCACTCTTTCTCCCTTGGCCAGGTCATGTCTGCTCAACTGAACACAAGGAGAAACAACGCAAAGCCCGTGGTGAAGGGAGACCGTTCCCACGTGAACTCAAAACTTACCCTGACCGCTTTCAGTCCACGGGACACTTTATTTTCTTCCACAGCTGCAATCACTTCCTGTCCAACGTTCAGAAGCGCTCTGCTAGTCACAGCATCACTGGAGAAGTAGATCAAATCATCGATCATGCCGTAGTCGCTGCAGTACCTTGTCACGACACCCCGTACAGTTTTCAGCGTAGTGTCACCTGAGGTGGGTAAACAAAGAGGTGATCTTGGCCATAAAAGTAAGTGCATGCCACAGAGAAGCCCCACCAGAGCAAGAGTGCAGCACAAGCCTCCATGAGGGACCGGAGCCTAACGGGCCACACTTGAGACACAGAGAATCCCATCAGAGTGCTGTGTCTGGAACGTGGGGTTTGGAGGCAGGCAGCCCAGTTTCCTCTGAAGGGCACAGGCAATGCCTGTGGAGGTGACAGCCCAGACTCCACGGCTGGACTGAGGGGGTTTGACTCCTAGCTCTTCTACTGCCATTGCTGAACCCTAGACTAGGTCCTCAACTACTCTGGGCCTGTTGCCATCTGTAAGATGGAGACTAATTGTCATTACCCAAGGGAGCTGCCAGAGGAGGCAGAACACACGTGCATGTATGGACCTCTGTGTGGTTGACATGGGTTAAGTGCTATGCAAATTGTGCTTATATTAGCATTTGGGTTACTAGGAGTATTGATCATTCGTCGTCATCAGCAGCAGCCTCAGAAGACTGGAGAATCTCCATAAACATGGTGCTGGAAGAGGCTCAGGGCTGGCCAGACAAGCCCTGGCCTCAGCCATCTGGCCACTGTGGCAGCCACAGTCCTGAGTCCTGAACGCACCTTCCCTGCAGCTTCCCAGCCACGGTTGGAACTTGGGGCGCCGTTTACAGACATGGGATCTCAGTGCTGCCATGAGCTGGAGCTCCAACTATCGCTGAGTAAGTGTTCGGAGCTGCAAAGCAACTGCTCCAGGTAACACAGCGTCAGCCCCTATGGATCCAGAGGCCCTTAACACGCTGCCTGCAGCAGGAAGCTCCCCTCCTGAAGCTGCTCCTGGCTTCTCTCACAGAAGGCAACTAGGGACCCACGACTGTGGATTCCGTTCCCACAAAAGGGAACATCGGGGGAAGCCATCAGAACCTCGGGAAAGGCCAGGCTTGGTGGCCCACGCCTGTAATCCCTGCATTTTGGGAGGCCAAGGTGGGTGGTCACCTGAGATCAGGAGTTCGAGACAAGCCTGACCAACATGGTGAAACCCCGTCTCCACTAAAAATACAAAAATTAACCTGGCCCACACGTGGTGTTCGGCGCCGGTAGTCCCAGCTACTCGGGAGGCTGAGGCAGGAGACTCGCTTGAACCCGGGAGGTGGGGGCTGCAATGAGCCAAGGTCGTGCCAGTGCACTCCAGCCTGGGCGACAGTGAGGCTCCATGTCGGGTCGGGGGAGCCTCGGGAGCAAGGAACCGGGCAGGAATCCAAGTGAATCCCGGGCGTTAGGAAAACAAGGTCAAGAAAAGGCGTGCGTGGGCGCCGCGCGTTCTGAGCCGGCGTGGCGGTGTGTTTTGGGGCTTTCCAGGCACACGACTGCCGGTGCCGCCGCGGGCAGGGAGGAGAGACACGGAGGCACAGCTCGGCGGCTGCTCGGCATCAAAACACAAAGCGGGGGCTGGTGACAACCGTGACACCCGGCCGAGGACGAGAGCCCAGAGCCGCGGGGCCGCTGGGCCCGGACACCTCCCGAGCGAGCGGGGAACGAGCGGAGTCCGGGGAAGGCCGCGTCCAGCGTCTCCAGCCTCCCGCGCGGCTCTCAAACACCTCCGGGGGCAGCTCCCTCGAGGCCCACGCGCGGGCCCGGGACCCGCCTCCCACCCCGCCGCCCCACCCCTCCGGCGAGGCACCTTCCGCGAGCTCGGGCTCCTGCCGCCCAGCTTCCTCGCTGGGGGCGTCGGCCGTCCTCCAGAAGAAGCCCACCAGCTTGGCTGCGAGGCCCAGCATGACCGGCGCTCGGCCTCGGCTGCCTCAGCCGCCGCCCGCACGCGCCCTCACGGCTCCAGCCGCCAGCAACCAATGAAGGCCGGGGTCGCCGCTCCTGCGCATGCGCCCTCACGGCTCCAGCCGCCGGCAACCAATGAAGGCGCGGGGGGGGGGGTCGCCGCTCCTGCGCATGCGCCTTGCCTTCGGCGCACGAGCGGGGACCCGTAGCTGTCCGAGGTCGGAGGTCGGCGCACGAGCCGGGGCCCAGTGGCTGTCGGAGGTCGGAGGTCGGCGCACGAGCGGGGCCCCGTAGCTGTCGGAGGTCGGAGGTCGGAGGTCGGAGGTCGGCGCACGAGCCGGGGAGGGGGCGGTTCCGGTTAGAGTCAGCGGTCGGCGCTTGACATCCATAGGCTCTTCACAGTCGGGCTTGGCGCTTGTCTAAGGCTTCGGCCGCTCCGGGAACTCCACGTGCTAGGCCGTCGTGGATGGGGGCGGTCTTTAGCAGTTCTTGCAGAGCAGCACTAACGTCCACGACACCTCCAGCAGCACTGCCTCCCTCCGCCACGTTGGCGGTTTACCGGTGAAGCCCAGTCTTGAACGCACCCAGGTCTCCGCCTCCGCAGGCCCGGTGCTGGGGGGGGCAGGTAAAGAGTCGTTGTTCTTTATCGAGTGGAGGAACTTCCCTCTCGTCCTATTTTCTCAAGAGTTCTCATGAGAGGGTGTGAAATTTTCTGCAGAGCTTTTCTGCATCTATTCAAATAATCCTGTAGTTTTTTTTGTTTTTGTTTTTTCCCCGAGACGGAGTTTCGCTCTTGTTACCCAGGCTGGAGTGCAATGGCGTGATCTCGGCTCACCGCAACCTCCGCCTCCTGGGCTCAGGCAATTCTCCTGCCTCAGCCTCCTGAGTAGCTGGGATTACAGGCACGCACCACCGTGCCCAGCTAATATTTTGTATTTTTAGTAGAGACGGGGTTTCACTGTGTTGACCAGGATGGTCTCGATCTCTTGACCTCGTGATCCACCCGCCTCGGCCTCCCAAAGCGCTGGGATTACAGGCGTGAGCCACCGCGCCCGGCCGGTAATTTCTGCCTTTTAAGGAATGTGTCCAATTATTGGATGTGACATTATTGACATAAAGTTGTTCAGAATATTTCCTTATTATCCTTTTCGGGTCTGTATGGTCCAGAATGATGAGCCATCCTTCATTCTTGACATGGGCAATTTATCTCATCGCTCTCGATTTCGTTGAGCAGCCTATATCAATTTTATTGATCTTTTTTAAAAAAAAGCACCTCTTGATTTCATTGATTTTTCTCTATTTGAAAAATATCTTTACACTTTGCGAGGCCAAGGTGGGTGGATCACCTGAGGTCAGGAGTTTGAGACCAGCTTGGCCAACATGGCGAAATCCCATCTCTGCTAAAAATACGAAAATTAGGTGAGTGTGGTGCCGGGCTCCTGTAAATCCAGCTACTCGAGAGCCTGAGGCAGGAGAATCACTGGAGAGGCGGAGGTTACAGTGAGCCAAGATTGCACCACTGCCCTCCAGCCTGGGGAGGGGGGCATATATATATGTGTCTTTACTATTACAATGATTGCTGTTCTTCATTGTTTCTTTCTTTCTTTTTTTTTCTTCCTTTGAGACAGAGTCCCACTCTGTTGCCCAGGCTGGAGTGCAGTGGCATGATCTTGGCTCACTGCAACCTTTGCCTCCCAGATTCAAGCGATTCTCCTGCCTCAGCCTCCAGAGTAGCTAGGATTACAGGCGCATGCCCCTACGCCTGGCTTTTTTTGTATTTTTAGTAAAGACTTGCCGTGTTGACCAGGCTGGCCTCAAACTCCCAACCTCAGGTGATCCACCTGCCTCGGCCTCCCAAAGTGCTGGGATTACAGGCATGAGTCACCACACCTGGCCTCTGTTCTTTATTATTTATTTCTACCCCCTACCTTTTTGGTTTAATTTGTGCTTTTTTTTTTTTTTTTTTAATTAGCTTCTTTTTTTCTTCCTCTTCTAACTAGAATAACCAGCGTATTTTTTTAGCTTCTTAAGTTAGACAATTAGATGATTAATTTTCCAACTTTCTTTTACTTTAAACATAAGCATTTAAAAGAACCACAGATTCCCCTTTAAGCTCAGATTAGGTGCATCCTATAAAATTTGACTTGTATTTTTATTTTCATTTAGTTTCTAATTTCCCTTGTGATTTCTTCTTTGACTCATGGGATTTTTTTTTTTTTGTAGAGGTATATTGTTTCATTGCTAAATATTAGAGGATTTTCTAGATAATTTACTGTTATTTACATCCCAAGACACCCCCAGGAAGATGGTGGATCGGAGGCTACCACGGACTGGCTGTGTGCCCCTGACCAACCCCATTTCTTCCAGGGCCTCAGTTTCCCCATTTGTGATGTCTCAGCCTCCCGCCAGGCTCCAGCCGCCACAGTGACTACTCTTCTTCATTTCAGGTCTCTTGGGGCCTCCGGGGCCCCATGGGCTTCCTGGAGAGATGGGGCACCCTGGCCCCCCAGAACCACCTGGCCCAGCAAGGCAGCCTGGGCCCCTCACCAAACAGCAGCCCCTGGGGCGCCCTCTACTCCCTGCAACCACCTACAGACAAAGACAGTAAGTGTGGCTTGTGGGGAGCCAGGGGCGTGACAGTATCTGCTTGCGGGGGCTGCAGCGGGGCCCAGGGTGATGAGAGGAGCCCCCTGGGCTCCATGTGGCCTGGCTCAGGGCTCAGTGCCCCCCAGCACTGCCAGCTCTGCCCTACCAGAGCCCTGGCCACTCTGCTCTTCCCACAGATGGAGACTCAGGACTGGCCTCTGCTATCGTGGACACAGTGCTGGTGGGTATCCCAGGACCCCGGGGTCCCCCCGGCCCACCAGGTAAGTGAATGGTGGGCTGACCTGCATTGAGGACTCCAGCCTCCCAGGGCTGGGCCTGAGCCAAGGGGCCTCGAGGGGAGCTGGAGGCGCGCTGGGGGTCTGTGGCTTCCTGACAGTGCTGGGGACTGGGTCTATCCCACCCGCCGTGTGGCAGGAAGTAAAGCCCCTCATTTCCTGGTGGCTGCACCCCTGGAGGACTGGATGCATGAAACCCACATGGTTCTGCTGGAATAAGATGGCTGCATGTGGCTGCCTTTGCATGGGCCACAGAGGGACACACACCGGGGGAATGGGGTCAGGACAGGGGTGGCAGGAAGTCACTAACTTTGAGGCAGAAACCAAGGGCCTGGGGGCTCAAAGGGACCGGGACCTAGCTGTCAGTCCTGGCCTGACCTTCCATCGTCCATGTTCCCCAGTGAGGGAGGAGTGCAGGGCTGATCACCTTGCCCCTCTCTCCTGGGAATGGAGTCATTAATTAATTCATTCATTCATTCCTCTCTGCATTCCACAAACATTCATTGAGCCTCTGCTACTCCATGTGCTGGACAGTGATCTAGGCCTCCAGGACACCTGAATGATCAAAACAAACATCACCGTGACACTATCTTTCTAGTGGAGGACAGGAATGTCATCTTAAATCCGTGACTTCCATAGGATCTGAGAGCTATAAGGGAGGAGCTGGGGCGTGGTGGGGAGGCCCTGTCTAAACGTGAGATTTCAGCAGATGCTCTAGGGAGGAGAGGGAGTGAGCTCAGCGGGTACGTGGGGGCCTTTGGGTGACAGGCTAGGTCTCAGGAGAGCTGGATAAGGTCCTGATGTTTGTTCCCCTGGAGTGCCTGTCCTCAAATGCCCTCTCCAAACCTGCAAGCTGGGCCATGCTGGACAGCCCAGCCCGGGGCTCCCTGCGCCATGGAAGGCATGGGCCTGTGCAGGTCGTGGGAGACTGAGGCCTCACTCTTCCAAGCAGGCTGGAAACTAGTCATGAATCTTTCTCTCGGAGCTGGGCACACACATGAGACCCAGCCTGGCCCTCTGGATACTCCACGGCCCATGGGGGAGACAGACGTGTAAACCTCAGTGGTCATGGACGGTGGCTGATTTACATAAGGGATTTGCCTAAAGGAGCATTGGAAAGCTGGGAAGGCTTCCTGGAAGAGGTGACGCTCTGTGACAGACTAGTAGGAAAACCAACAGGAAAGGGTTTGCAGGGAAAGTGGAGGGCTAGGGAGGCTCCAGGAGGAAGGAACAGCTTAAGCAGAGACGCCAGGAGGGTGTCCAGCTGGGGCAGCCAGGGTGGGAAGGGGCCGGGCTGAGGACTTCGGGAAACCTGAAAGAGAATTTAACTGAGCTTGCATTTTTGAAAGCATGCTCTGAGCGGGGGCACATGGAGGGTGGAAGGTCAGGAGGCTGCTATAGTAACCCCGGCAAGAGGGAGGGGTCCCAGGTCCCGAGGTGGACCACCTGGCTGGGGCGTGGGGCCGGTCTGGACGGACTTCCTCCCTCATTTGCCAGGTCTTGGGATTTGGGAGGCCTCGTGGATGAGGCCCTGGGAGAAGGAGGTGTGAGGGCTGTGGGCAGCCGGTGGATACGGCTCTGGGCCCTGAGGATGGAGAACTGGTTGGGGGTGGGGGTGCCTCCCTCCTCCCCCCCACTCATTTCCAATCCCTCCTTTGCTGCCCATGGAGACAGATCCAGAACAGGTGCTGGAGTGGGAGGCTGGGGGCGCCCCTCTCTGGCCCCAGATGACCAGCTGTGACTCTGCCCACAGGTCCTCCCGGGCCACGAGGTCCCCCAGGACCACCTGGATCCCAGGTAAGGATGTTGCCATGTTAGGTATGGTGTGGGAGATATCGGGTGGGGGTGATGCTGTCTCCCTAGAGAAGAAGCACCTTCTTACCAGCAAGAATCACTCAGGAAGGAGCCGGTTGGCCTGACCGATGAGATTTTATTTTGTTCTGTTTTATTTTTATTATTTATTTATTTATTTTTGAGACTCAGTCACACTCGTCCATCAGGCTGGAGTGCAATGTCATGATCTCAGCTCACTGCAACCTCTGCCTCCCAGGTTCAAGTGATTCTTCTGCCTCAGCCTCCAGATTAGCTGGGACTACAGGTGCCTGCCGGCACACCTGGCTAATTTTTGTATTTTTAGTAGAGACGAGGTTTCACCATGTTGGCCAGGCTGGTCTCGAACTCCTAACCTCAAGTGGTCTTCCTGCCTTGGCCTCCCAAAGTGCTGGGATTACAGGCGTGAGCCACCGCACCCGGCCCCACTGGGCACTTTGATGGCTGGAATCAGAGGTCCCTGAGAAGCAGTGGCCTGGAGAGGGGAAGGGACACCAGCTGGGTTAGTTGTGAAGACAGCCAGCAGTACCAGAGGCCGTGCCGAGGTCAGGCAAGCCTGCAGGAGCCAGGACACAGAGCTGGGTTTTCAGCTCAGATCAGAGGCTGGGGGTCAGCCAGGGTGGAGGCCAGGATCCCAGCAAGGTGAAGGCAGAGCCAGCAGAGGAGCCAGATGGGCAGATCCCAGACCGGAAAAGCAGCAGTCAGGTGGCCTGTATAAAACAGCAGCAACCCAGAGCCTGGAGAGTGGGGCTGCTTCTCTCTTAGACAAGAAGTTGGCTTTGGTATGTCAGGAAGGAGGCACATGAGAGAAACCTGGCTCATGGTAGCTTATTCCTTAAGCGTATTTACTATTTATTCAACAAGAAGTTCAGGAGTGGAGGTGGTCTCGGGAGTGGTTTGGTGGCCAAGGAAGCCAGGCTCTCTGCTGACTTGTCGCTGTGGGCTTTTATCTGCATTGGTTGATGCCTCATGATGTTAAAGTGGCTGCTTCAGCTCCAGGCATCACATCCTCACCTTGTGTGTAAAGGCAGGAAGTGGAGGGTAAGGCAAAGCACTGAATAGACTCCTTGTCTTTCATGAGCCGTGCTGGGCTATGTGATGACCTCCTAGGCTCAAGGGAGTTGGGAAACTGAGTACCTGGAAGAGCAGAAAGGGATTGCTAGGCCTGGCTCAGGCCAGTCCTGATTCCTTTCTGGGCCACATGCACAGAGACTCAGCAGGGAGTTCTGGAACAAGGGAGAAAGAGGCAGCAGGGGCCAGGCAACCAGCAGAGTCCACTCCATCTGCACTCCCCCTGGTGCAGGCCTAGGAGCCGGTCCAGGATTTCTTTTTTTTTTTTTTTCTTTTTTGAGACAGAGTTTTGCTCTTGTAACCCAGGCTGGAGTGCAATGGCACAATCTCGGCTCACCGCAACCTCCGCCTCCTGGGTTCAGGCAATTCTCCTGCCTCAGCCTCCTGAGTAGCTGGGATTACAGGCACGCGCCACCAGGCCCAGCTAATTTTTGTATTTTTAGTAGAGACGGGGTTTCACCTTGTTGACCAGGATGGTCTCGATCTCCTGACCTCGTGATCCACCCGCCTCGGCCTCCCAAAGTGCTGGGATTATAGGCGTGAGCCACCGCGCCCGGCCTCGGTCCAGGATTTCTGCCACCCTCTGTTCCTGGGACGGGCCAGCAGGCAGAAGCCATGTCGGGCGGGGAAATTCCTGCCTGCCCTCCCCGCTCCTACCCCAGGCTTTACTCTCTGACTTCATGGACCACAGACAGCACACAAGAGCCAGAGAGGCCTCAGACTCCCAGCAGTCTCCAGTGTAGAGGGCGGTGCCCTGGCCAGCCTGCCAGGCTGCAGTGACATCATCGAGGCCACTGTCCCCCAAGGCCGTAGCCTGGTTTTCCTGGGCTGGGTCCCCACACCCACAGCTACCCACCTGGGTGAGCTCATGCCTGGGCAGAAATGGGAGCAGCTTCCCCAGGTCAGCCACAGCCAGGCCAGGAGGGCTGAGGCATTGGCCAGGGCAGATTCCAACCAGGGTCCCTCTGCCCAGGTCTGTGGGCTCTGTGGGCAGGGGTGTCCCAGTGAGAGGTGCCCCAGGAAGGAGAGAACTTTTGTACTGGCTGGGAGGTCACTTCAGAGGAGGCTGGAGCTTTGCCCGGAATGGGGAGCCGCCGGGGCATGCCTGCAGGAGCCCAGGGTGGGGGTCCTCCCCAAATCTCTCTCAAGCTCAACCCTGCTCCCTCTTCCTCCACCCCAGCCTCTCATGGCCCCCTACCTCCTCCTCCCAGTCCTTAGGACCACCCCTGTTAATTATGGCCATCTGGGCATCCCCCAGGATACTGCAACCCACCCCGCCCCAGTTTACCACCCTCACTCCCAAACCTGCCTCTCCTGTGCCCTTGTTCATCTGGGGGCGTTTCTATTCCCAGCAGCCAGGCCTGACAGGGGAGAGACACAGCCCAGCCTGACCAACATGGAGAAACCCCGTCTCTACTAAAAATACAAAATTAGCTGGACATGGTGGCGCATGCCTGTAATCTCAGCTAACTCGGGAGGCTGAGGCAGGAGAATCGCCTGAACCCAGGAGGCGGAGGTTGCGGTGAGCCGAGATCATACCATTGCACTCCAGCCTGGGTAACCAGAGCAAAACTCTGTCTCAAAAAAAGGAAGAAAAGAAAAAGAAAGGGGAAAGACACTCCAGCCTTCACCCCACCTCCTGCCCCCCGCCCCAGGAGCAAGAGCACCTGACAGTCCTCCAAGTCCCCTGCACTGGCCGTCCCGGTCCCCTTCCATCACGTGACCTGGCAGCTACAGTCTCCTTGCTCCTCCCCAGAGCCCCTAACCTTGGCTGTGGCCCATCAGCTTCTCCAGGGATGCCAGCATCCAGGGCAGGAATTGGAACCCGTCCCTCCTCCTGGGGATTCTGGGGGTCGGGAGACTGGGGTCCACCCTTCATTGCTGTGTGATCTGAGCCAGCAGCCCCGGCTCTCTTTGCCTCCATAAAGCTCAGTCGGGGTCGAGGCAGCGCTGTTGGGAGAATAAACTGGTCTGAAGGATGAGGCACCACGTGCGGCCCCGGCCTCACTGTCCATTTGCTAAGTGATCTCAGGCAAGTCACTTGCCATCTCTGAGCCTCTGTCTCCACCTCATTTGTGATGTCTCCGCAGTGACCCTCCCGGTTTCATGGGCCCTTCTAAAGACCAGAAAGGGGAGGGGCTGAAATAATTGGCCCTGGGTAGTCAAGATGGCCTGGGCCAGCCATCCAGGTCATCAGAGGGCCGTGTCCTGCAGGGAGGTGGGGGGAGAGCCCCTTCTGCAGCCCATAGAGGACCTGAGCCCAGGGGGCCTGGCCAGGAGCCTGGATGCAGGGTCAGAGCCCTGAGCAGCAGAGTGTGCCCTGGGGACGCACCCGCTGGGGAGGAGCCCAGAGCAGGCCACTTTGTCCCCAGATCCCAGGACTGACCCCCAGGCCCAGGGGCACTGTAGAACTGCTGAAGGGGCTACTCAGGGAGACCATCTGCCTGTGCACCATGGTCCCTCAGCCCAGCCCAGGGAGTCCCTGACGCCCCTCGGCCCTGGGGCCCACCCAGGTTCCCAGCAGGAATCTCCACCCACCCTGAGCCCATTTCAGGCACACAGCACCCCCTGCCTGCCTCTTTGGGGGCAGCAGGGACTCAGGGGGCCTGAGTACTGGCTTTCAGGGGGTTTAAAGGAAGGAGAAAGTCTCCGGGTCCCAGGCTGTGGGTCTCTGCTGCCTTTAACTCCTTGGTCCCTCAAGGAGAAACAGACAGGGCCACCTGTAGGCTGGTCCCAAGCAACCGTGTCTACTTTTGTTTTTCTGGAAAACCTTCTAAAGATCACGTGCCATAAAGGATATATTTATACCCACCCTTCCTCTCTCCTCTCTCCCTTTCTTCCCTTCCATTCTCTCTCTCTCCCTAATAGATATAGAGTCTTCTTGATCTGTTGCCCAGGCTGGAGCGCAGTGGCATGATCATAACTCACTATAGCCTTCAACTCCTGAGCTCAGCCTCCTGAGTAACTGGGACTGCAGGCCTGTGCCACCACACTTGGCTAATTTTCCTTATTTTTTGTAGAGATGAGGGTCTCGCTGTATTGCCCAGGCTGGTCTCAAACTCCTGGCCTCAAGTGAGTCTCCTGACTCAGCCTCCCAAAGTGCTGGGATGACAGGCGTGAGCCACCGCTTCTGGCCAGCACAGGGACTTTGAAGGTGTCTGAAGGACACTGCTTGAACCTTAGGGCCCAGGAGGACTTTCCTGATGTGAGGAGGAGGATAGGGCTGGGAGGGAGAGCACCCCAGTGCGGGTGACGTGCTCCCACTAAGGAGTGTGATGGGGCACACGCAGAATGGACAGCTGCAGTTCTCATGGGGTGCACATGCGTGTCCCCCCCGCCCCAGCCCGACTGGGACCTGACTGTCTGCCTCGTTCAACCCAGGTCCTCCTGCTAGAAGCAGCAGAACGGCCCTTGAGCCCAGACAATGACCTGCCAGCCCCCCAGAGCACGTGTCCCCCCCGCCCCACCCCAACTGGGACCTGACTGTCTGCCTCGTTCAACCCAGGTCCTCCTGCTAGAAGCAGCAGAACGGCCCTTGAGCCCAGACAATGACCTGCCAGCCCCCCAGAGCACCCCGCTGCCCTGGAACGAGTACTTCCTCCCTGACGCCATCCCTCTCGCTCACCCGCGGCCACGACAGAGAAGGCCCACGGGCCCAGCTGGTGAGTGAGGGCTTCAGAGAGGACAGGCTGGAGCAGCCAAAGGGACCTCGGGCATGGCCTCCCGAGGAAGGCCACACACGCAGCTCTCTGGTTCCTACATGCCACGTGGCATTTTGAAAAATTAAGCTTAACTGTTGGAAACTGGGAAATTTCACCTAAAAGCCAGGAATTTTAGTTTCTTTTAAAAAGTAGGCCATCTGGCCAGGCGCAGTGACTCACACCTGTAATCCCAGCACTTTGGGAGGCTGAGATGGGTGGATCACCTGAGGTCAGGAATTCGAGACCAGCCTGGCCAACATGGTGAAACCCCGTCTCTACTAAAAATACAAAAATTAGCTGGGAGTGGTTGTGCACGCCTAGAATCCCAGCTACTTGGGAGGCTGAGACAGGAGAATCGCTTGTACCCCGGGAGGTGGAGGATCCAGTGATCTGAGATTGCACCATTGCACTCCAGTCTGGGGTACAAGAGTGAAACTCCATCTAAAAAAAAAAAAAAAAGAAAAGGAAAGTAGATTGTCTGGAGGGGAGTAATGGCTCACACCTGTAATCCCAGCACTTTGGGAGGTTAAGGCGGGCAGATCACTTGACGTCAGGAGTTCAAGACCAGCCTAGGCAACGTGGCAAAAGTCCTGTTTCTACTGAAAATACAAAAATTAGCCCGGCACGGTGGTGCATGCCTGTAATCCCAGCTACTCCTGTGGCTGAGGCATGAGAATTGCTTGAGCTGGGGAGGTGGAGGTTGTAGTGAGACCCAAGACCGTGCCACTACCCTCCAGCCTGGGCGACAGGAGTGAAACTCTGTCTCAAAAAAAGAAAAAGTAGATGATCTTGGCCAGGTGCAGTGGCTCACACCTATAATTTCAGCAGTTTGGGAGGCTGAGGTGGGAGGATTACTTGAAGCCAGGAGATCGAGACCAGCCTGGGCAACATAGTGAGATCCTATCTCTACAAAAAAAAATTATAAAAATAAAAACGAGAGAATTGGCCCTCAGGACTGGCCGTCCCGCATGGAAACAATCATCTACTGTGGAGTCACAGTTGCCACTGCCGGTCCGGTCCAGGCCGTGCAGTTTGCCACAGTCCCCACCATTCCCTATTGTCTTACCTCTCAGCTACTGTCTTTACTCTCAGATACTCAGGTGTCTGCCCTGCCCCTTGGCTTCTGCACTTAGGATCCCCAGCCCAGCCTTCTGGGTTTAATTTTACAGTATTCTGCCTGGCCAGGGAGCGGGAACTTACTGCCTCCCACCTCTTTCTGGAGTTTGCTGTCTGAACACTCTGGCTAGAATTGGAGGACATCTGCCACTCTGCCTTTCTGCCACACTTTTACAATTTAATGTAATTTAATTTAATTTTGAGACAATGTCTTGTGAGGGATCTGTGGGGATCTCTCCCATGTGAGGCCCCTGGGAAATGGGCCTCGCCATACGGTGAGCTTGAGCCTGGACACAGATCCCTGGTTGGGGGAGTCGAGCTGAGGGAAAGCAGGAACCGAGAGAGGGACTATGTTATTCAAAATAGTTAACAGACATTACTTTATGAATATGAGGACTTGGGAGGCATTGTGTCTACTTTTGGCTCCTTATGGTTTATTGTCTCATTGTGTTCATTTTGGACCAGTGTTACCTTCATTGCAATATATTAACTTAAATATTTACACTTGGTAACTTACTTACCGTAACTTACAGGGCGTAACTGTAACTTATTTACCTTAATTTACAGGGCGTAACTGTAACTTATTTACCATAGCTTGCAGGGCGTGATTGTAATTTACTTACTTTGACCTATTGGGCGTAACGTACTTAATGGGATTAACTTACTTACTGGGCGTAACTTGCTTACTGTAATTTAAGTATGTTGATCTGGCGTAAACAACTTTAACTTCAGAAAAGTATATAATGAAACACATTGCAAAAATAAAATTGCTGCATGAGCATAGCGCATGTAGCCCTCCAGACCTTGCCTTTTCTATCTCCTTTTTTTCTGGCACACGCTCTCTTGCAGGTTTGGGACCCTCTCGCTGGACGAGATTCCCGGGCTCGCGTTCAGTTCACAACAGTCTTGCTCTGTCACTGAGGCTGGAGTGCAGTGGTGCGATCATAGCTCACTGCAACCTCCATCTCCCAGGCTCAGGTGATCCTCCCACCTTAGCCTCCCAAGTAGTTGGGACTATGAATACACACCACCACACCTGGCTTTTAAAAAAATTTTTAGTAGAGATGAGGTCTCACTATTTTGCCCAGGTTGGTCTCAAATTCCTGGCTTTAAGCAGTCCTCCTGCCTCGACCTCCCACAGTGCTGGGATTACAGGCATGAGCCACCACATCCAGCCTACAGATATCATTTTTCATCTTCACACAAAGCTTGGAGACCTTGAGGTTACAGGGAAGATGCCTGAGGCTCAGAGAAGTTAAGTGACACCCCTGCGGTGTCACTCGATGATTCTCTGCCCTTAGAGCCCTTTGGAGGGGGCAGGGCACTCTCCCTCTTCCCTCTCTGTCTCCCATCTGTTCTGTGTCTATTCTGGTGCCGGGCTGGGGAGCAGGGCCAGAGCAGGGAGGAGAGATGCGTGACAGAGGTGGCCTCCAGTGGCCAGTCCCAGGGCTGGAGAAGGAGAGGTGGGCATCCTGCCTTCTTCAAAAGGGACTGAAGGCTTCAGGAAGAGGGTCGAGCTCAGTTCTTCTATGAGAAGGGAGACATCTCTCACTCTGGCCCCGTGGCCCACCCCTCGAGCCGCTGTCCCTAAGGTCTCATCCCCAGAACGTCACCCCATGCCCACAATCTTCAAATCTTTCTTTGGGGATGGAGGAGGGGGCTTCCCATCCCACCGGGGACCCCCAAAGGGGATTCCTGGTGTTGGAAATAGATGCTTGGTGCCACAGAGACAAAGGATCTTTTAGCAACACAATTTTTACTTCCTGAACTGCAGGAAGGGGCCCTCACTAGTCATTGTGCCATGAGAGTGCAGTGAACGAAAGAAAACACACAAATTTATCCCTTGTGCATCTGGGGTCGTCCTTACTGCTGTGTCTGCTCTCCGTTGGCTGGAGCCAGATCTCACAAGCTAAACTAAAACCCGGATGGCTAACAACTTAAAATTTTTCTAAACAGGTAAAAGCAATGGAGAGCTGGGGCATGTCTGTGAGCACGTCCAGCACAGATATCTCGGTTAAAGTACAAGGACGTAGAATGTATTACGTGCCTGTAAACATGGCGTGTCTCACAGCTACAGAGAATAGGACTTAACAAAGTCATTAGCTCGCTTATTCTTTAACAAGAAAGGAAACTTTATTTTATTTATTTATTTATTTTGAGACAGAGTTTCGCTCCTGTTACCCAGGCTGGAGTGCAATGGTGCGATCTCGACTCACCGCAACCTCCGCCTCCTGGGTTCAGGCAATTCTCCTGCCTCAGCCTCCCGAGTAGCTGGGATTACAGGCACGCGCCACCATGCCCAGCTAATTTTTTGTATCTTTTTTTTTTTGAGACGGAGTTTCGCTCTTGTTACCCAGGCTAGAGTGCAATGGCGGGATCTCGGCTCACCGCAACCTCCGCCTCCTGGGTTCAGGCAATTCTCCTGCTTCAGCCTCCTGAGTAGCTGGGATTACAGGCACGAGCCACCATGCCCAGCTAATTATTTGTATTTTTAGTAGAGACGGGGTTTCACCACGTTGACCAGGATGGTCTCAATCTCTCGACCTCGTGATCCACCCGCCTCGGCCTCCCAAAGTGCTGGGATTACAGGCTTGAGCCACAGCGCCCGGCCCAATTTTTTGTATCTTTAGTAGAGACGGGGTTTCACCATTTCAACCAGGATAGTCTCGATCTCTTGACCTCGTGATCCACCGGCCTCGGCCTCCCGAAGTGCTGGGATTACAGGCGTGAGCCACCGGAAACTTTAAAAAGGAACTTTTCTACTTCCCACACTTAGCGAGACCTCGGGCCAACCAGGGAAGCTGCAGTTTCAAGAATGGCCACCAGGTGGGGCACACACCCCAAACATGGTGACACCTGCCGCCAACCTGGATCCCAGAGAGCGGGTGGGGTTCTTCCGAGCCCAGCAGCGCCCAGCCAGGCCCTCCCCATCGTGCCACAGTCCCATGCAGCCGGGGTCAAAGGGGCCCGAAGACTCAGCGCAGTCCTTCATCAGATCAGCAAACATTTTTTTTTTTTTTTTCTGAGACAGGGTCTTGCTCTGTAAGCCAAGCTGGAGTGCCCTGGCATGATCATAGCTCACTGCAGCCCCGACCTCCTGGCTCAAACCATCCTCCCACCCCAGTCTCCACAGGCACGCGCCACTACACCTGGCTAACTTTTGTATCTTTTGTAGAGATGGGGGTCTCACTATGTTGTCCAGGCTGGTCTCAAACTGGGCTCAAGGGATCCTCCTGCCTCAGCCTCCCAAAGTGCTGAGCAGACATTTTTGAGCATCCTCTCTGGACCAGAGAGAGAAAGGACTGTGTCCCCTGGCCACACAGCAGGCCTTACCTCTCCCTCACCTTGTCTGCCCTTGGGGCATGGAGACCTGGAGCTGGGAAGATGCATCCTTCAGGACCTCCTGGGGCCTCCTGGGAGGCATATTGGGAAGCATTTTCTCACAAGCCTGGTTCTTGACCCTAAGCAGAGAGACAGTAGGGTGTGAGAGAGGGATTTGGAGCTAAGCAACTTCAGCTGTGGCCTGGCTGTGTCACTTTGGGCAAGGGACCAACCTTCTCGAGCCTCAGTTTCCCCACATTTAAAATGGGAACGAAAGCAGTTCTTGGTATTAGTGATGTTCACACGTGCAAAACTGGCTTGTAAGTTGTAAAACCAACAACTACAAGGTGATGTGAGCGCCTTTGTCTGTTCGGGGAGGCCCAGGTAGGTTTTGGAAAGGTCCCATGAGTCAGGGTCCTGATGGGGGTGTGTGTCTTCCCTACCCCGACTCCAAGGTGCTAGATCAGACCCAAGCTAATGGGGTGGTGATCTGATCTGGGAGGCCAAGGACACAGGCTGTGAGGACCTAGGTGGGCTCAGAACGCCCGGGGGTAGGCAGCTGTGTGGGACCCCAGGTTCCGCCACGGGAAGGGGGCGCTGCTGCGGTCACCCCATCGCCCACAACCGCCAGGACCCCCGGCACGCAGCCCCAGAGAAGCCCAGCGCCTGCTGCATCCTCACCCGCCCCTCCAGCCTCGTGGGGTCCCGGCCCAGGGAGAGAGGGCGGCGTGAGAGCCTCGAGGATGGGCGGGAAGGCCCGGCAAGGCTGGGGGGCTGAGAGGGAGGGGCAGGGTGTGACCCGCGGGTCTTTGTGACGTGGTGGGGGATTGAGTGTGACGCCCACAGCGGGGGCGCAGGGCCGCAGCACATAACTTTGGGCTACAGCCAGGCCCTCCCCAGTAGGCACCATGGCGCGCCCTGTCCCGCGCCCCGGACCCCGCAGCCGCGCCTGCTCCAACAGCTGCCTGGGACCCGGACTGGGACCCCAACCCGAACCCCAACCCGGGCCCGGCCCCAATACCGCCGACTGCTGCCCATCAGGGCCCGAGGCCCCCGCAGGCCGCCGCCCCCGCGTCCCCCGCCGTCCGTGGAGCCCCACGCCCCGAGCCAGCCGCCGGCGCCCGCGGGGCGCACAGTGCGAGGGGCCGCCCCAGCACGTTGCTCTGGGCAACCGCAGGACGCTGGGTGGCGCCAATGCGGACTGGGGCGCGATGGGAGCCACTGACCCAGTCCCCGGTGAGCACGACACCCCCACCTCAGAACCGCAGACCCGCCCCCCACCGGCGAACTCCAGGCCTAACCCCTCCCTGGGCCTCCAAATTCTAGACCCCAGAATTCCTAGGAATCCCAGGAACCCAAAGACACCTGCGCAGCTCTACCCACCCCGCCCTCCTCGAAAGCTCAGAACTGCTCTCCCCACCTTCCCCCATCTTCTGGAAACTCCACAGCTGTCCACTCCCCTCTGCCTTCAGAACCCACCTCTCCTCATTAACCCAGACCTGCCCCCAACTAAAACTTTCCCCTCAACCTAGACCTGATCCCTAATTGAGACCTGATGCCCCCAGCCCAGACATGACCCCCTAACCCAGACTTGCCTCACAACCCAGACATGACCCCCCAACCCAGAAGGGACACCAAACCAGTCGTGACCCCAAACCCAGTCCTGACCCCCAATTCCAGACCTGACCCCCAACCTAGACCTGATCCCCCACCTAGACCTGATCTCCCAACCCAGACCTGCCACTCAACCCAGACCTGCTCCCCAACCCAGACCTGGCCCCCAAGCCTCAGAGCTGACCCCAAACACAGACCTGACTCCCCAGCCAGACCTGATGCCCAACACAGACCTGAACCCCAACCCCAACCCCAGACCTGATCCCCAACCCTAGGCCCAATCCTCAACCCAATACCTGACCCCCAGCCCGGACCTGAACCTCCAACCCCAGAGCTGACCCCCAACCTGGATGTGACCCCCAATGCCAGACCTGACCCCTAACGCAGACCTGACCCCCCAACATAGATTTTATTCCCAACCCCAGACTTAAGTCCTTAATCCAGACCTGATCCACAGCCCCAGAGCTGACCCCAACCCAGACCTGACCCCCAACTCAGACCTGACCCCAACCCAGACCTGACCCCAACCCCAGACCTGACCCCAATCCCAACCTCACCTCCAGCCTCAGACTTATCCACCAACCCAAACCTGACCCCCAACTCAGACCTGACCCCAACCCAGACCTGATCTCCAACCCAGACTGCTCCCCAACTCAGACCTGATCCCCCAGCTAACACCTGACCCCCAACCCCAACCTGACCCTCAGCTTGGGCCTCAGAACCCTCTTGCTCCTGGGGCCCTCCACACCCTCCCCGTTTCTCATAACCAGCACACCCCCTCCTCTAGGGGCTGGAGGAGGGAAGGGTGAGCTGTCTGAGGCCAGCATGGAGCCAGAGAGGAAGGGGTTCTGGTCGGCTTCTTTGGATGGAGATGGAGCAAAGAAAAGAGGGGGTATCCTGTATGCCTGCGAGCCAGCCACTCACCCAGAGCTGTGCTGCGGCTCCGAGGCTCAGAGGCAGTTCTGGCTGCAGCCTGCTGCCAGGAAATCAGGGAATCCGGGGGCGGCCACATCACTGAGCTACAGAACCAGGCGCCTTCTTTTGGATGGTCCAGACGGAGGACTCCAGGGGTGTTGGGGGTGCTGGGTCCTGCCTCCTGTGCCCCAATCCCACTGGCCAGCTTCCTGGGAAGCTGGGAAATTAAATGTGTGGGTGTGAAGGGCTCTCCTGGCGGGTCATGGGGGACTGTGCACTTTCCCTTCTCTTCCTTCCTGCCCTTGCCCTCTCTTCTACTCCACAGACACAGCATGATCATTTAATGGCTATTTCTTGATGATATGCTAAGCGAGGGGTGGAATATTCATGCCTCCCCTCTTTAGACCACCTAGGGTAACTTCCTGACATGGCCACGGCACTCGTAACTGTCATGGCACTGGTGGGAGTGTAGCGGTGAGCATGACCAGAGGTCACTCTCGTGACCATCTGGTTTTGGTGGGTTTGGGCCGGCTCCTTCACGGCACCCTGTTTTATCAGCAAGGCTCGTATGACCTGTGTCTTGTGCCGACCTCCCGTCTCATCCTGTGACTTGGAATGTCTTCACCACCTGGGAATGCAGCAGCCGGGTAGGTCTCAGCCTCCCTTTACACAGCTCCCTTTCAAGATGGAGTTGCTCTGGTTCACGTGCCTCGGACGCTTCTGCTGCTGTTGGTTTCTTGGGCCATTCTCCGGCCACACCCACCTCCCACGGCTCTGGTCTCAATGAAGGTGGATGGATTTTGCTGACTCATGGATGGCATTCCTTAGAATATGCCATTTCATGTCTGGCCTCATTAGACGTTTGTCATTTTTTTTGTGTGTGTATATGATGGAGTCTTGCTCTGTGCCCAGGCTGGAGTGCAATGGCAGGATCTTGGCTCACTGCAACCTCCACTGCCTGGGTTCAAGTGATTCTCCTGCCTCAGCCTCCTGGGTAGCTGGGATCACAGGCACACAGCACCATGCCCAACTAATTTTTGTATTTTTAGTGGAGATGGGGTTTCACCTTGTTGGTCTTGAACTTCTGACCTTGTGATCTGCCGCCTTGGCCTCCCAAAGTGCTGGGATTGCAGGTGTGAGCCACCGCGCCTGGTGAGCGGATGTCTTCTGAATTTGTTCTCTAGTCTGTGCTTTACCTCTTCATTTTCTTAACAAAGCAGAACATTTTAATGTTGACAAAGTCTAGCACACTGATTTTTAACGTGGATGGTTAGGGCTTCCGGGGCGGTCTGAGAAACGTTCTCCTGACCCACTGTCATCGTGAAGGCACTCTCCGTGTTTTCTCCTAGAGCCTCTGTGTGTTCAGCTTTCACACGGTGAAGATTAGTTTTTGGGCACGTTGTCAGGCAGCAGCTACAGTTTGCCCTCTCCACACGGACGTACAGTTGTTCTCGCGCCGTCCCCACTGAGGTGCTTCGGAGCTTTAGTCTAAATCAGTCTAGAGCTTCAGTCTAGATCAGAAGTTCGAGACCAGTCTGGCCAATAGAGGGAAAACCCATCTCTACTAAAAATACCAAAAAATCAGCCGGGTGTGGTGGTGCGCACCTGTAATCCCAGCTATTCAGGAGGCTGAGGCAGGAAAATTGTGTGAACCAGGGAAGCAGAGGTTGCAATTAGCCAAGATCGCGCCACTGCACTCCAGCCCTGGTGACAGTGTGAGACTCTTGTCTCAAAAAAAAAAAAAAAAAAAAAAAAAAATTAGCCAGGCGTGGTGGCCGGCACCTGTAATCCCAGCTACTCAGATACTCAGGAGGCTGAGGCAGGGAGAATTGCTTGAACCTGGAAGGTGGAGGTTGCAGTGAGCCGAGATCGCACCACTGCACTCTAGCCTGGGCGACAGAGCTAGATTCCGTCTCAAAAAAAAAAAATTACATATGGGGTGACAGGTGCCCCCAAATCTTAAAAATCACCACTAAAGAGCTTATCCATGTAACCAAAATTCACCTGTTCTCCAAAGACGATTGAAATAAAAATATCCTCTTGCCATCTTAGGGAAAAAAGATTTTTTCCATCTATGGACGCTACCCGGTGGTGCGTGCGGCTCTACGGAGGAAGGGCTGGGTGGAGAAGAAGCTCCAGGATGGAGGCACCGGGGTTGCTGCTAGGGTATTGGAGGTGTGAGTCTCAGTGCAGGGCATGCCAGTCTGCCACTGGCATGGTGGGGGGAGGGTCTGTGCCAACCTGAGCGTGCTGCCTGCCCTCGGGTCCTGGTGTGCATGATGGAATCTCTCCGACTCCAGGTCTCCATCGTCCTCCTGGCCTCCCTGCCCCAGGTGGTCATGCAGGGCAAACCCTTTCAAGCCCCTGGCACTGCTCCCTTCTCAGTGTCCCCGTGGCCCCCACTCAGGCTGGGCCTCGTCCTGCTGCGGTGGTTTCCGTAGTCCTGCTCTGCCCCGTGCAGCCATCCCTCCTCTGGCTGCAGCTTCCTGAAGTCCACTCTTCAGGCCCCCACGGTACCCGCTGCTCCTCACTGACCCTCTGCACAACTGTGTCTGTGTCCTCTTGGCCCCAGTGAGACCCAGATCAAATGTCCCCTTCCGCACCCCAGGACATCTGGGCCCCCAGGAATCCTGGGACCTCATGCTCTGTCACAGCCCTGGTGGGATTGCTGTCCTGTGGATGCTCACTGGATGTGTGGGGGCCGCCGGGATGTCCCCAGCCTGACTCAGCACCCACACAGGCACGGGCTCTGCCAGGAGAAGCCTGACTCAGCACCCACACAGGCACGGGCGCTGCGTCTCGTTGGCAGATCGTAAACGTGAGGTCAAGGAAAATCAAGAAACGGCTTTGGAGAGAGTAGAGAACACCCACAATGTGATGGTAGGTCCCCTGCGTGCATCCTAATCAGTCAGCCTCAGCCGATGTGATGGCACATCCCCTGCATGCATCCTGATCAGCCTCGGTCTCTCCACAGCTTCTCACACCATCACCCTGCTCTGTGCCCACTTGCCCATGTCCTGGGGAATGGCAGCCTGGTGGGGGCAAAACCTCAGTCACAGCAGGGCCCCTTGACCCTTGATTCAAGGGCTCACCCCACCCCTTTGGTGCTGGATGAGCCGCTGTGCAGGGGGCAGACCTGGTGCGCCCAGCTCCTTCTACCCACACTGGGCTGGCCTGCCGAGTGCTCGTGGAAGCTGAGGGCCTTCCCGGCGTGTGTGTTGCAGGCCAGGCCTGGCCAGCGAGTGAGCTGGGGTCTCCAGCAACACAGCAGTGTGCCCTCCCACCGCCCCAGCCCAGTCTGGTTTCTCGGGGACACCCCACACTCCCCCATAAAGAGGGCGAAAGGGAAACCAGAGTGGGAGCCAGCATTTGTAGTGCTTACAGTTTAAAAGATCAAATATCCAGGGTATGTAAAGAACTCACAAGTCAGTAATGAAAAGGCAAAATGGGGCCAGGCGTGGTGGCTCATGCCTATAATCCCAGCACTTTGGGAGGCCAAGGTGGGTGGATCATGAGGTCAAGAGATCGAGACCATCCTGGTCAACAAGGTGAAACCCTGTCTTTACTAAAAATACAAAAAATTACCTGGGCATGGTGGTGCGTGTGCCTGTAATCCCAGCTACTCGGGAGGCTGAGGCAGGAGAATTGTTTGAACCCAGGAGGCGGAGGTTGCGGTGAGCCGAGATCGCGGGCACCCTTTTGCCTGTGCCCGCGGGTATCAGAATGGTTGGGGCAGCACCTGGACCCCAGTGCAGGAGAAGTGATGTGTGGGGTGCCTGGTGGAGGCTCAGATATCCGTGAGCCCAGGGTGGAGAGACCCCTGCCTCACCCAGTCCCCTCATGGGCAGGATGGCAAGAGCCCGTGGTGTCCTCGGGAGCGTGCTGTCCACAGGGCAATGTCTGCCAGCCTCTGTCTTTGACTGTTGTGTGACCCTCGCTTGGTGTGAGGGGCTGGGGGACCTGATGGCTGGGCAGGAGTGGGGGCTGCTTTACAAGGGAGTGAGAATCCAGGGAGGCCCAAGAGTCACTTAACAGAGACCTTGCCGGGGGTTCAACTCTGGCCCAGGCTGGGGGCTGTGGTCACGCTGGAAGTCACACCCAGAAGAGGACCTGGGAGGAGCCAGCCTGGGGCCTTGACTCTTACCCGCCCGCTGCCTCTGGTCAAGTGTGCCTGGAGGGGGTCCAGGAACTCACCTGCACAAAAGCAACTCCTATGCAGTGGGAAGCCAGGGCCCCTTCCAGCCACTGTCCCCGGACTTCCAGCTGAGAGCCATGTGCCGTGTGCTGTGTGCCGTGTGCCTGGCCAATCTCGGGGCCTCTCTAAGCTGCTTCTGCATCTGGGACATAAACACGCATCCCAGTGATGGGAGAGTCCCTGACATCAGGTCAGATACGTACTGACAGAAATTAAAGAAAGGGGTTAAATGTTAGCACGGTAGGTCTGAACCCTGATGAGCTCTTTTTGCCAAAATGCTCTTCTACGTGCCTGTATCTTTTTTCTGTGGATCCACTTCCCAGTGGAAATATAACATATACAGTCATGGGCGGTCTCATCCCCCCCCACGAACAAGGCGGAAAGTTCCTGGGCCAACACGCCTACAGTGGAAGTGAAAATGCTTCTGATGTGCATACGGCATAGTGCAGTCTCCTAAACCATGTTAGTAGTTCTAAATCCTGTTTAGAAATAGGGCAAGAGTAGAACTAATTACTGACGATTTTAGGTAGGTGACTGTTTCTCACCCTGTGTCACCAGCGTCCCCTGGCCACATGCAGATGGGGAAACTGAGGTGCAGGGAGGCTCTTGCCAGCAGTGCCTAGATGGGGGCCCTGGGCTGGTGGGCTTCTGCCCTGCCCCCAAGTGCATTCCATGGCATCTGCCCACTGGACTGAGGGTTGTCCTGGGCTGTGTCAGCAGGGGAGCCAGGAGAGTCCCCCCAGCTGGCCTGGGTTCCTCTGGCAGGGCGTGGGAGTCCTTGGAGATGAGGTTCTCTAGAGCCAGCTGAGTGGGCACAGCACTGCTGGGAGGACCAGCCTTGGGCGCCTTCCTGGGCTGATGGAGGCTGAGCACCTGCCCCTCGACCGCCGCCCCCCCACCCCACACAGCACCATCCACTGGTGCAGCAACGTGGTCCAGAAGCACCTGAAGAATGATGGGGGCCGCAGCCCTCTGCTGCCAGCACACAACATGTGGACCAGCGCCAGGTTCCAGAAGTACCTGCAGCGCTGGGGCTGCGGCGCCGCGTGGGGCAGCGCCATTTACCCGTCCATGAAGAAGGCCATCGCCCACGTCATGAAGGTGGCGCAGGATCACGTGGAGCCTTGTAAGAACAGCTTTGAGCTCTACGGGGCCGACTTCAGGCCCTGGCTGATCGAGATCAACTCCAGCCCCACCATGCACCCGTCCACTCGTCACGGCCCAGCTGTGCGCAAAGGTGCAGGAGGACATCATCAAGGTGGCCGTGGACATCGCAACTTCCAACTCCTGTGCAGGCAGGTGAGCCTTGCCCTCCCCTGCCCAGGTGGTGGGTGCCATCCTCTGGGGGGTTTGGCGGCAGCCCCCCGTGTGGACGCTTTGCCACCTGGTTACTCAGCGAGGGTGGAGCTGCAGGCCGCCAGCTCCAGAGGGTCCATGGAGGATGCCAATACTACTCCGTGACTCCCACTCCGTGACCCAGGCCTGCCCTGCCCTCCCGTGGGACTCGGTGCCTCGTTGGCCTTGAGGAAGGGGCTGCTACAGGCGTCTGGGTGGGCGGGGCGGCCCTGCTGGCTCGGCTCAGAGCTCCATCCAGCTTTCCTCCCTCGTTCCCAGCCCCGCCCAGCCCTGACTGATGTTGGAGGTGGGGGCTCCATGCCGGCAGCCTCCAGGCCCATCATGCTGCTCCTTCGCTTTGGCCTGCAGTGTCTTCCACTCCGAGGCTCTTTTGGGGGCCTCCTTCTCCCCTTGGGAACTTCCTGGGGGGGTGAGGCCTGTGCCTGGAGACATGCTGGAGCCATCAGGAAGTGTGGCCGATGCCTCTCTCTTGAGGCCTCTTTGTAGCTAAACTGGAGAAGTGGGCAGCCCAGTCCTTGGGTGTGGGGCCCCCTAGATTGCCTCTCAAGCTTCAGGAAGCCTTGGCTCCCTAAAGGCTCTACAGAGCCTGGGAGCCTCCTGAGGGTCTGCATGGGACCCCAGGTATTCACTCCTGAGTCGGGCGGGGGTCTGTGCCCGACCAGCCCCTCCTGCACAGACTCCACCATCCTGGCCACATCCCAGCACCTCCAACCTGTGCCTTCCCCTCAGCCTGTGGTCAAGCTGCCGCCATTCAGCAGGTCTGACCTCTGTGTGGTGGGCATTAGCATGAGGAGGGCAAGGAGGCAGGTGCTGCCTGTCTGCAACCTGAAGGCCTCCGCCTCGCTGTGGGATGCACAGCCGCTGAAGGCACGGTGCCCCCTCGCCATGCCAGACCCCACGCAGGGACCCACACGACCGGCTCTCCAGCAAGACCTCGGACTGAAGGATGAGAAGGGGCTCCCTCTGGCCTTGCTGGCACCCCTAAAAAGGCCAGCCGAGAGCGGCAGAGCCGCGCAGCCCACCCGCACCAAGGCTGCCGGGAAGGCAGAGCTCCCTGCCTGCCTCTGCCACCACGTGGACAGTCAGGCCCTGAACACTGGTGACCCCAAAGCCCAGCCTACCAAATGCTCAGATCCAAACCTTTTTAATGTGCACCCCCTGGCGCCTGTGCTGCAGGGCCTGAAGACAGAGGAGGATGCCCTGCGTCCACCACCCAGAGCCCCAGGTAACGTGGGGGCCATGGGGGCTGCCTGCTCCATCCCAACCCTCCCTCGCCAGCAGCCGCTGCTTGGGAGGGGGTCCCAGCCCCGCATGGGGGTCGGGGGCGGGGAGTGGGAGTGCTGACCAGGTGGATAGTGGGGTCCCCTCTGTAGAACCTGGCGGGTGATGCCTTTCTCACTACCTCTGGGGTGTGGCACGGGTCGGGAGGATTTGAGTTCGGGCCTTGAACCGTGCCATGAACAGCACAAACTCGCTGGCTGAGTGAGGTGGGGAAAGTGACCACTGAGCTTTTGCATCTGGTTTTCTGAAGGCTCTGAGGGGCTGAGGTTACAGGTGGAGCCACCATGCTTGGCTCCTGTCAGGCTCTTCTGAGCTTTGGCTAAACCTTCAGAATTAAGGGGCTGCCACTGGGTGCTCTTGGCCTCAGAGTAGCTGAGAAGGATGTAGGGCTGGGACGCGACTGGCCAGCAGGCAGCTTCACCTGTTCCTCCTGCTCGAGGGTCTTTACCAGGGTGTGACGGGGTCTTCAGGAGGGCGTGATGGGGTCTCAGGAGGGCGTGACGGGGTCTTCAGGAGGGCGTGACGGGGTCTCAGGAGGGCGTGACGGGGGTCTTTAGGAGGGGTCTTTAGGACAGCATGCAGGTGTTGCCGCCTCCCGATTCCCGCTGAGGTTCAGGGGCCGGGACTCCACTCACCGAGATGCTGCCTGTCCCACAGGAGGCTAAGTCCCTCCTGCAGCAGCCCCATAGCTCAGGCCCGCAGGGCACACGCCCCGGTGTGGGGGTCACTCAGGAAGGCCAGTGACTCGGGCCCCACCAGGCACAGATGAGTCTCCAGCCCCCACGTAGCCTGCCTGCCACAGGGCAGATTTGCCGTGAGCGGTGCTGCAGACTATGGGAGTTGATGTTTACCATCACCGGGTCATCCGTGGAGGCAGCTGGAGACTTAGCCCAGTGCCAGATTCCCATGTATTTACCCACGTACATTCCTCTTGCCCCCGAGTCTCAGACTTCCAGTCACATTCATTCTGAACCAGTTTCCTTCCACTCAAGACAGTGTTCTTTAGGGAGGCGCCAGCGGCGGGACGCTCAGATGACCTTTTCACACAGGTTCATGACAGAGTCAGACGCTCTGCGGCCGGAGTCCAGGTTGCAGCCGCGCTCCCTCTGAACGTCGAATTCGTCCTTCCACTGTCCCGTCTTCACCGTGGCTCTCAGAGCATCGGCAGAGCTGCCATCCCTCCAAGGGGAGCTGTCTGTCCTACCTGCCAGCTTTAATATGATATCTGAGTACTCACTTTGGTTTTCCTTTATTCAGCCTGGAATTTGAATGTCTTCGATGTGTGCCGTGTGTCATTATTCAGTTATGGGAGTCTCTCAGCCACCGTGTCTTTAAATGTTGCCTCCACCCCGTTCTGTCCCCTTCCCTTTGGAACGCAGACTAAATGCTTGCTAAGCCTTCTCACTTTCCCTGTGTCTCCTGATCTCCCACGTCTGTGTTTGATTTATGTGGCTGCCTAGGCTGCGTTCTGAAAACGTCTCCTCGCCTGTCTCCCGTTCATTTCAGGGTGCTACCAACCCACTGAAGTTGTAATTTCTCATCGTTTTCATTTTCACAAGTTCTACTCTTTAATACATTATTGGATCTTTTTTCTTTTTTTTGAGACAGGATCTCACTCTGCCGCCCAGGCCGGAGGGCAGTGGTGCAGTCACAGCCTCCACTGCAGCCACCAACTCTCGGGCTCAAGCGATCCTCCCACTTCAGCCTCCGGAGTACCTGGGACCACAGGCATGCACCACGCCCGGCTGTTTTTGATTCATCCTGCACCCAGTGGTTTGGGCCTCCCATTTTGTGGGGGGTGTGAGGTGTCTTCTGTCCCCACACACTGGGGTCTTGGGACCCAGAGCTCCAGGTGGCCCTGGTGGTGAAATGTCAGAGGAAGGAACTTTGGGGCCTGGTACCTTTCAGAGCGCCCTCACCTCCGGCTCACCTTCCCTGGCCTGGCCCATCTTCCCTTACCATCTTACCTGCTGCTTTTCCCCATTTTTATGATGCTTTTCCTACCTTATGCTCCTGTTTGGTGGTTTTCTCTGGAAGGACTGGTCTGGGAGTCCCAGACCCCCCGTTACTGAGTGCACCCTATGGGCTCCCTGGAACCTGCTGGCGCCCCACTGTGACTCTGACTCCAGCCCCAGCCTCCGTAGAGGGTTGGAGCCCAGGCCTGGACCTCCCCTCCCTCAGCAGGGCCCAGGCCCCACACCAGCTGCTCAGCCAGCTCATGCATGTTCCATTGACCACACACAGACACACGAAGGGCCACAGACACCGAGTCCCCTATCCTTGGCTTAGGGCAGGCCCAACCTCAGCCCTGACTCACTGGACACACTTTCTGGGCACCCTGGTGGGTCCCAGCTGGCCCTGGGTGTGTGGGGACAGAGCCCTGCCCAACAGCACTGCCTGGCCTGCTGCGCCGAAGTTCCCTAGCTGATTTGACCTGCCAGCCCTCGGCCCAGCCTCCCTGCATCTCCCCTCTGGGATGAGAGCCCCAAGGAGCGGGAGCTGCTCCCACCTCGTTCTTCCTGCTGTTCATGCCCTGCTTGTGCCACGCAGGCCCTGGCCCGTCTCGTGTGCCAGGCTGGCCCAGCCCTTCCAGGAGACCCAGTTTCAGGCGCTGCTCAGCTTCCACCTGAGGTTCCCGGAAGCCAAGGGCTGCTTTGCATAGGCACTGGGGGCTCTCCCCACCCAGACCGTGAGGAAGAGTGACTCAGCCTGGGGCCCGGAGTTTGCTCTCAGTAGTGGGTGCCCCAGCACTTCTCGGCCAGGCTGCAGCTGCTTGGGAACTTTTAGCCCCAGAGGCTGGGAAAACTGGGGAGTCTCCCCTTTATCCCACATTCCTGCCCCACCCTGGGATTCCTTCTGTCCCTCCCCCACCAGGTACAGCTGCAACAAGTGTATAGGCTGGGCTTCCCTTCACCCTTCCTGGCCTTGGCAACCTGAGGTTGACTCATGGCCCCAGTACATGGGGGATGGGGATTGGCACAGGCTCACCCCACTGAGGAGGGCTCGCCAGAGACCCGAGACAGCCTCAGGGCAAGGCCAGTGGCTGGAGGCCAGCGAGAGCCAGGCCAAGGTCCCAGCATCTCCGGTTGAGAGGGCCCCTCTGGGAAAAGACGCATGGTGGCCACACCTGCCGCCCTTGCCTGTCCTGGGACACTCGAGAAACGGTGTGGAAGTCCTTGAAAAGCAGCAGCTCCCATGCAGGGGTGGCCTCGAGGAGTGGCCCCACAGTGGACAGCACCTACCTGCTCTTGCTCATCACGGCTGCTACCTCTGAGCCCATGCAGGAAAGGGCACGGGCTGCAGCCACCTCTCAGACCACGGGCACCACATGGGATGCCGGGCATGGGGCCTGCTCCCTCTAGCAGCTCCTGGCATCAGAACAGCCCATGGGGCCTGGTGAGGTCTGACCACAGGTTGTGGGCAGCGGGTCTTCTAGCTCCACCGGGAACCCCAACCTAGGCCTGGGTCAAAGGTGCCAGTGTGCCCAGACCGCCTGCACCAGCTGCAGCTTCTCATGGGAACAGGCACACCCTCAGCCTTGACACTCCCACCTCCCTACTGACCTGTACAGCCGCTGACCTGCCTTGGGACTCTGGGGGGCTGCCCCAGCTGCTGGCCCTCAACTCCAGGCACTGCCCTGTGCCCACCACCCACTTGGTCCTGGCCCAGCTCAGCACCAGGCATCTGAACCTGAGCCCAGGCACAGCAGTGCAGGAGGAGTTGGGGTGGGGGCTGCTCTTCTCCGAATCCCCCAGCTGGTTGGGTCCTTCTAGGCAGGCCTCACCTCGAGGAGAGCTGGATTCCCACTCTGGGGTGAGGGGCCAGGTGGAGGGGCATCAGGCAGGGTGAGGAAGGGGACCTCCCCATCCACAGAGCCTTCACTCCAGAGTGACAATGCCCCACCCCTGCCCCCCTGCCCACGTTTTTAATTTTGAGAAGTAGTTTTGCCCTTGTTGCCCAGGCTGGAGTGCAATGGTGTGATCTCAGCTCACTGCCACCTCTGCCTCTGGAGTTCAAGAGATTCTCCTGCCTCAGCCTCCTGAGTAGCTGGGACTACAAACGCCTACCACTACACCCGGCTAATTTTTGGCATATTTAGTAGAGACGGGGTTTCACCATGCCGGCCAGGCTGGTCTTGAACTTGTGACCTGGTGATCTGCCTGCCTCAGCCTCCCAAAGTGCTGGGATTACTTACAGGCGTGAGCCACCGCGCCTGCCTGGCCTGCGTTTGAGTGGAGGTCTTTCGTTTTCTGAAAGCTGGGGGAAGCAGGTGGGCTCCATGCAGGAGCGGGTTGGGAGCCACCTGGAGCTGGACTTTCCGCTGGGCTGCTCTGGCTGGTGGTGCGATGCCCCCGAGGAGCCTGCCTGGGGGCGTGGCCCTGAGGGGCGTGGGCGTTGCCTGTTGGTGGGTGTGGACTGAGGGACCCACGGGGCGGGGGATGAGGCTAGGGGTGCGGCCGGGGGATGGGCTGGGGCGGGGGAGGACGTGGGCGAGGATTCAGGGGTCTGTGGCCCGGAGTGAGGGTCACCGGGCGTGGGCGCAGCGTCTTGGACGCCGTCCAGAGGCCCCGGGGGGTGTGGGACGTCATGGGGCTGGACGAGCGGTGGTGGGTGGTTGGGGAGGGCTCGGGAGGCGTCTGCAGGTGGAGGAAGGCGCCGTCGGGGTGGAGGGTCCCAGAGCCCGGGGGCGCGGGCAGTCGGGCTGAGTGGGGCGGAGGGAGGCGCGGCTGGATGCCGGGCCTGCGCCCGCGGTCTCAGCACCCGTCTCTCCCCAGGGCTGCAGAGGGACCCCCGAGCGCTGCCTTGCCTCGTGTGCGGTGGTCCTGCTGGGCGGGCGGAGCTGCAGCCCGCGGACCCCGTGAGCCGGGACCCACGCGGGGGCCAGGACGACGACCCGGAGCCAGCGCGGGCGCTGGGGGAGACCAAGGTTGGACCCTGCGATCCCTTTGCAGTTGGGCTTCTTGGGGCACAAGAGGTCAGTGGGCCGTGTGGCCATGCTGCCCTGGAGACCCAGACATGGGAAGACTCCCCCTGCCACCCCAGGCCTCGTCCAGGAGGTGGCTGGGGCCTGCCTGTGAGCCAATGGCCTGGCTCTTCTTGGATACTGAGCGGGGCCGATCCCGCAGCCCTCAGAGCCAGCGCCAGAGCCCCCGTCCTCGGGTTGGAGAGGGTGGCTGGGCCGGGGCAAGGGCCTGGCTTCACCATCCTTCCTGGCCTTGGGACTAGCACCAGCCACACCCCATGGGCCGTCCGCACACGAGGTCACTGGCTACTGGCTGCCTGCAGCCCCTGCCTGTGTCACGGTGCTGGGAGGACACCTTCAGGCAACTGGGTGTCATGGTGGGGGCCTGTCCCAGTGAGGCCTGGAGACAGAGAGGTTCAGGTGTGAGGGGCCTTGGGCGGGAGGGACATTTGTCCTTTCTCAAGGATCCTGCTGGCCGTGCCCATGGACGTTGCCTGGGACACCTGCCATGGCTCAGTAGCCCCCCCCCCCGCCTTATAAGGAAGGCTGGACGCCAGGCTGATGGGTGAGGCCCAGCTGCAGTATCTGTCTTACAGCCCAACCAGCATGAGACAGTGGGTGACAGAGACCATCCTGGGCCACCCCCAAACATACCTGCCTGCTGACCACACTGTGGCGTGGAGGCCAGCACCGGGCACTCTGCAAGGCACCATGGCCACAGGCACACTGTGGGCGGGGGGTGCTCAGCCCCATGGACTCTGCCCAGCAGTGACTGCATAAGTTCCAGCCCATGGAGGTGCGGGCAGGGCTGAGGTGCTGGCCCAGGAGGCAGGGAGGTGGGCAGTGGGCGGTGGCAGAAGGGAGGGAGGAGTTCATAGCCATGGCAGGCCCCTGCCGCCTTCCCTCCCCTGGGACCCAGTCCCTCCCCTGGGACTCCCTCCTGTGGCTCCCCGAGCCCACGGTGTGAGGCCCATGGCCTCTCCCAGTCTGGGGGTGGTGCCACTCTTCACACTTGGGGGGTCCTGTGGGTATTCCAGGCAGAACACCCCAGCTCTACACTCCCTCCATCCCCCACCACACACACACACACGCACACGTGTGCACACACACATATGAACACACGTGCACACACACACGTGGGGCAGTGCCCTTTCAGGAACAGAGGCAGGAGCTTCTCTGCTGCCGAGACATGGTGATTGGGCTGAACACAGAGACTCTGGGCCTGCCCAGGAGAAGAAGAGCCAGGTCACCCAGAACCACACCCTGGTTCTCTCCAACCCCCTGCGCTGGCTGGAGGCAAATGGGAAGCAGTGAGCTTCTGCCCAAAAACTTTCCTACGCATTGGATGCTCCGGAAAAGAAGAGGACTCAGAACAGCTGCCTGAGCAGAAGCCGAGCCCCAGAGTTCCCAGCCCTGGGGGCTGCCCTCTGGAGTGGGGGACCTCACAGTGAGGACCGAGCAGGGGTGGTGGCCTCTCGCATCTGGAGGGGAGCCGAGGGCTGAAGACTTGGGGTGGAGTCTCAGATCCCAGGAGAGGGCTCTCCCTTAGAGGCCAGAGCTGAAGCCAGGGGCTCTGGGGTACCAGATCCCAAGACAGATTCTGCCCCCACTTTGCCAGCCCAGCCAGCTTTCCAGGGCCCTTGTCTACTGTCCCAGCCTCATGCACGCCTGAAGGGGGTGCACACAGGCAATGCCTAGATCCCGCTGGCCTGGAGCCATCTGTGCTCCAGTGGCCCGCCCTGTGGGGAACCCCATTAGGGTGTTTTGGGACTCCAAAGACCTCAAAGTTTCTGGATGCTTCCTTTGGAAACCTAGGAATTCCACAAGTGTGTGGCCACCGTCTCATGGCCCCAGGCGGTGGAAAGTCTCCGGGCTGCTGTCTGCAAAGGGAGCCGTGTCTTGCCAGGAGGGGCGTGTCCGCTTGCTCCTGCTGTGAGGAGCAGCCTTCTCTCCTCTGTCTTTGGGGCTGGAGCCGCTGCCACAGGGCACCCTGCAAACTCGCCCCACTCACGTCCACAGTCTCCAGTGGGAGCTGTCACTGCACAGCCACATGCTGGCTGGGCAAGTACTTGCGTTCCTCAGCCTGACCTGGGGCACCTTCCAGAGCCTGGCCATCCCCGGGATTGCGTAATGTGGCCTGTCTTGTTCTCAGGTAAGCTCCTTCCTCCTCCTAGGCCCTGGTTTCTCCTCAGGTGGGTGTGGCCTGATGCTCTCAGCACGTGGACAGGGACATGTGAGGGGTTGCAGGAGCCTGGGGGCCCCTGGCAGAGCCGGTGAAAGGAGGCTGGGAGACCTGGCCTGACCCTGCCGAACTGCTCTGGGAAGTGTTTGCTAGAAGCTCTAGGCAGGGTGAGCCCACCTCCGACCCACCTGTGACCTCCGAGCAGGCTGTTAGAATCCAGGGCAGAGCGCAAGCCCATCCTGGGCTCCCCACCCCACCCCTCAGGCTGCTCGGAGCCATCGGGAGCCAGTGGCTACGCAGGCTTGTGTAGACACCTGCCAAGGAGACACTTGGGGAAGGTGCCTGGGGGGCTGGGGTGGGGGGGTGCCCCCGCTGCAGGGCCGGCTGACTCAGCCTTACAAGAGAGGGTATTTCATCACCTGCAGGAAGAAGTGTGCCAGCTGTCCCAGGAAGAAGTGCCAGTGCCCAAGGCTGGCCGAGGCACAGAGGGGACACAGGCGTGGAAAGAGCCCGGAGGGGGTCCCGGGAAGGGGGAACTCCCTGAGGACCTGCTGGGTGCACCGTTCCTGGCATGGGGACAGCAGACAGCAAGATGTGCCTTTAGGGTGGTGGCCTGGTCACCTCAGGGGACACTTTCAGGACACCCAGCAGCTCCACAGGGCCTGAGATGGGTCCAGCAGCGGGCTCAGGGAGGGGAGGGAGCGGTGGGTGTGGGTGCCACAGGCAGGCTCCGATTCACAGGCATTCGTGGAACAAGGAAGACAGCAGGCTGGGATGCATGGGGGTGGGTGGGGGAGGTGTTAGCTGGATTCCCTCCTGCAGGGGAGATGGAAAACAGGGAGGGACAGGACTGGGGGCCCTGGCTGGGGGGAGGGAGGAGAAGTGAGAGTTGAGACTCAGAGGTGACTTTTGCCTGTCGGTGGATGGAGGAAATGGTTCCTGAGTTGGGAGACCTGGGGGAGGCAGCCTTGAAAAGTGAGCTGGAGAACCTTGCGGAGGTGGCTGCGGGGTGCCAGGGGGGTGATTGATAGGGCTCCCGGTGCCAGGGGGGTGATAGGGCTGTCTCACACTGCTATGGGCAGGGTGACCCTGGGGAGCGGGTGGGGCCAGGACTGAGCCCTCCCTACTGCAAGGAAAGGGACAGGGGCAGGGGCAGGGGCTCAGGCAGGCAGACGAGGCGAGGAAGGAGGGGAAAAGCTGCAGGGGAGGGGAGAGGAGGGGTTCACAGGGCTGAGGGAGGGTCTCATGGAAGATGGGGTGGGGAGGGCTGACCAGGAGGGGTCGAGGGGTGAGTGGAGTGGGAACCGGAGGTGATCTAGGGGTGCTACCCACGGCAGCCTTAGGCCAGGCGGTGGATGTGAGGGGTCATGGGAGCCCCTGTCCGAGGTGGGAAGCCTGGGAGAGGAGGCCGGGGCTAAAGCCGGCCTGGGGGAACCTGCTCGGGTAGGGGTGGGAGGCTGGGCCTGATGCTGGGGACCTCAGGGGGGCGGGGACCACATGGGGGCCAAGAGAAGCCACCCTGGGAGTTCCCTACAGATACCCCGACGCTTGGCAGCTGTGGGAAACCCCGAGAAGCACAATGGGAAACCCCGTAGCCAGGAGGTGCCCAGGGCCCAGGCTCAGCCCTAGCTCCCCCCATCCCCCACAGTGTGCCCAGAGCCCAGGCTCAGCTCCAGCTTCCCCTAACCCCACAGCGCACCCAGGTCCGGCTTCCTGTGCCCCTTGGGGGACGGGCAGAACCTCATGGACGTCCTTCGCCCCTGACAGTGGCCTCTCCTACAGCCCCAGACACACGGGGCCACTTGGCCAGCCCTGCGTGGGCTTCAGCACTGGCACTGGGTTCAGAGTCCAGGAAGTCAGGAGAAAGAGCTGACCCCCTTCCCATCTCCAGCCCACGCTGGCCTGTAAGCCCCCAGAAGGGGTTCTTTCTCTCCCTGATTTGGAGACAGGGAGTCCAGGCCACAGCTTGTGCCCAGAGGGGCTTCAGGGCACCTGGTGGGAGGGGTGGGGACCCGCCACTGCCCCCCCGTAGTTCCACACAGGGTCCTCACTGGGCCTCCCACACTGCCTCCCTGGCTCCTCCTGTGCCCAAGCTGGTCTGTGCTGCCACCACCTGCCCACCCCACCTCCCACCCTCCTACCCTGCCCCCACCTGCCCACCTCCCACCCCCATCCCACCCTGCCCCCACCTGCCCACCTACCATCCCCACCCTGCCCCCCTCCCATCCCTGCCACACCCTACTCCTGAGCCTGCTGGGATCAATTC